ATCAAAGCAGAGAACGCATACTATAGGCTACAGTCTTTACAAGGTCGTTTGGTATATTTCTTTGTTGTTGATGTCAGCTGTATGTAAGTTACCACAGGGAGGTATTGAATTTGGGTTGAAGAACCCAATGCCATTTGGTCTTCTAATCTACTAGGTGGTGGATAACCTGTAATCATCTATTTAATTAAATTTCCTGGTTCAGGAACCAGAAGTTATCAGAGGAAATTAAGATGATGCTAACAGGAAAGCTGTTCATGAATTGTTTTTACTAAACACAATCTGTGAATATGCCAGGAACAAAGAAAGCTGCTGGCGATAAAAAGAAGGCATACAGGGGCAAAACTGGGCATATGTGGTATTTATAAGTAGAGGGAGTCGTAGCCCATTCCGGGCTCCACATTTTAAGGGTTGTTGACAAACAGGAGCATGCCCAAATGGCTGTCATCAGCTGACTGGATTCACTTGCTTGGTTCATGCACATCTAGGAGGTAGCCATCATGAGACCAGGAGCCATGTCTGCCTCATTCACAGCTATAATCCAGGGCCTTGCTTATGGCCTAACACATTGCAAGTGTTCAGTAAAATTGTGTGGGGCGAAGTCAATGAAAATGTCTGTAGCAACTGTGACCCACCCTCCACCCCTTTTACCCCTCCATGGAGCCTACCTCCCCCAGAGACCTGACTCTTAATCACCCCCCCCCCCCCACCCACCCATTGCCTTGCAAACCTGCCCTCAGGAAAGACTCCTCCTGACACGTAAATGGAAGTATAGGTCACAGTGACTGGGCTCCCCTCCCCTCACTGAAAAAGAAATGGATCTGTCTCTTGTTAAAGAAATGTCAAGAATTAAGAGGCGGGAGAACCGGCTGGCATACCGGACTGGGCTCGGGCGTCAAGTGGCCCCCCTTTACCTACCTGTCCCTCAGGCCTGGATTTTGTAAACTGAGAGTGACGGCATGCAGAGGATCCCAGGGACTATCTGTTCCATCCTTGTCACCTGACAAATGAGGAAACTGAGGCCCAGGGTGGGAAAACAACTTGCAGCTTGCCAGTGAGGAACCAGGTGAGATCCCAGCTTGGTCTGAACAAGTGGAAAAACACAGAACCTGAACGCCCTTCCCCCTGCCAGTCAAAGACTGGGTGCTTGGCCCGACCAAGTGGCTTAACTCTTTAAGCCTTAGTTTTCTCATCTGGAAAGGAGAAAATAGTTTTCTTACCCCTTCTTGGAGATTTTAGCAAATGGAGCAATGCACGTGACATGCAGAGAGCAGTGTCTGATATTAAATAAAGGGGAATCACTATTTTGTCACCGTTACTATTTTTACCACGACCTCAGACCCCAGTCCTCAGGATGCTTGGGCTCCAGTCTGGTCCCACCTCCCTCCGGAAGGCTAAGGACCCAGGCCAGTGTAATCTCTCCCTCTTCTAAGGCCCTTGGCCACCAGCACCCTGAACCATAACACAAGCAAAGGCACAGTTGTTGGCAAACGGGCTGGGACAGGCTGGGACAGCAGAGGCAAGCCAGCCCAGTTTCCACATCTGGGACCTGAGAACATCTCCTTAGGTCTATGATTTTCAAACTGTGTCCCCAGAGCCCAGAGGTCGGGATGGGGAGGAGAGAGGGCCAGTGCATAGGCTCCCGGCCACATCTTCTGCTTAACAGAGCATCTCTGCTTCTGGCTAGTTTGTGTATTTGGGTTCCATGTGAGAAAGCATTCGAAGACACAGTCCTACAGCTAAAACAAAGTTTGAAAAATCCAAAACATTCCAAGATCTTTAAGGTCATTTTCCACTAAAAAAAAAAAAAAAGAAATCTAAGAACTATTATTTCTTGAATGATTACTTAAGTGTTTGTTTATCTATCTTCCCACCCCTTCTCCCTCAAACAACTGGTTTAGCGGCAGGGGGAAAAACAGGACACAAGTCTGCTGACTCCTAGTCCAGTGCTCATTCCAATATATAAATATATCCTCCAATATATCACTACAGATTTCAGATGGGGCAGAGAGGAGGCAGCCACAATTCCTTTCATCCCAGTACTAATTGTCAAGGCCTTGTCAGTTTTCACCGCTTTTCTATTCTGCATCTTGGAAGGAATTAAAAATCTCTACTCTAGGGGCTGGCCTAGTGGCTCAGTGGTTAAGTTCGCACATTCCACTTCAGTGGCCCGGGGTTCACTGGTTTGGATCCCGGGTGCAGACATGGCACCGCTTGGCAAACCATGATGTGGCAGGTGTCCCACATACAAAATAGAGGAAGATGGGCACGGATGTTAGCTCAGGGCCAGTCTTCCTCGGCAAAAAAGAGGATTGGCAGCAGTTAGCTCAGGGCTAATCTTCCTCAAAAAAAAAAAAAAAGAAAGAAAAAATCTTTACCCTAGGAAATAGGGCAGGCCAGGAGACGGTCAGGCACTTAGGGGATTTGTCACATGTGCTCCACCATCTTCAACGCAGAAAGGCTCACAAAACTTTGAGTCCCCTGGGCCATTCAGTCCTTAGCTTCTTGCAGCAGCCACAAGCTCAAAAGGCTATGAAGTGAGGCGGGCCATGCCAGTGTCAAGGGCCTGACAGCAGAAGGATGGGGGCAGAGCTGGAGCATGGAAGCCTTCCGGTGCCTCTTAGAACGGGCAGAGCAGAAGTGGATGTGAAACGGCTGCTGAGGCACAAACTGCCCTGCGTTCGCTTTCTTCTTCCTCAGTCACGGCCCCATGCGCAGACCGCCAGATCTTAGGCCTTCGCCAGATGGACTACTTTTGTTTTTAAACTTATTTTTAGAAAAAAAAATTTTTCTACTCGGTAGAGATGAGTGGTCTCCAAACAGTTTGGTCTCCTTTCTGAGTCAGGTCGAGCCTCATGGGGCTCTGCTTTCGATTCCTGCAGCCTTGCCGTTCGCTGAGCACATAGCAATCCTCCGGTGATGCCCCCTCTATTTCAAGAGCCCCCCAAAATAAGCCAAGTGACTACAGATAAGTTTTTGGTACTTTCCAAAATTAAACTATTTCCCTTGGTGAATTTCCACCAAATGAGCTCATTAATCTGAAAACAGGATGTGGCACATGAAGAGAGTGAGGTCAGGTTGCCTGTTCTTTTCACTAACACCGGCCTGGGGTGGAGAGGAAGGGGTGGGTGGGAGAGGTGGGACCAGTGGATGGCTTTTTTATAGGTCCCAAATTCTTCATGGATTTGACTGAGAATCAATAAATTTGTAAAACAGAGACTGGAGGGGCTGGCCCCCTGGCCGGTGGTTAAGTTCACGTGCTCTGCTGGGGTGGCCCAGGGTTTCGATGGTTAGGATCCTGGGTGAGGACGTGGCATCACTCGTCAGACCCCGTTGAGGCGGGGTCCCATGTGCCACAACAGGAAGGACCTGTAACTAAGCTATACAACTATGTGCCCGGGAGATTTGGGGAGATAAAGCAGAAAAAGAAAAAAAAAAAAAAAACAGAGACTGGAAACTGAATCCTTTTCTCTTAAAAATGAATGGCCCCACGGACTGCTTGTCTTGGAGGCCCCTGAGATCCTTTGCTTGTCCTCAAGCGGGCACGGCCCCTCCAGCTGGCATTCCAAGACCTTCCTTTCACCAGCAAGACTCTCTATCCCGCAGGGTCAGCCTCTCTGTCATGAGCTGGACGACAGCAGCTCTGCCTTGGGTGGGCGGGAAGCTTAAACACCCCTCAAGTTAAAAAACAAAATCAAAGAAGTAAAAGACAATTCCCAACTCCAGTTTGGTGTCGAGAAAAAAAACGGGACCCTAATCCATAAAGAGAATTTAATGGGTGCCTCTGAGTAATTAGAACAAAACCAAAGAAGGGAGCCTTTGTCCAATTCGCAAAAATAAAGGTTGTTTGTATCTTTTAAACAAAAATTCTAACCCAACGCTAAATTCCATAGCTATCTTGATTGATAGACACAAATTCATAGGGAATACGTGGGCGCGTGTGTGCGTGCGCGCACGTGTTGTTTTGTGTGTTTAGACGAAAATAGAAACCCTTCCTTAAAATATTGAGTTTTGGAAAACACCGTGCCTCCGGGAACCGCTCCGGACCCTCTCTTTGCTCCATCCCAATAAGCTCGGAGGAGCCTGGCGCCGTGCTGGGCTCTGCAAGAATCCAAGAGGGCTAAGACTCGGGTTTGCTACGGCTCACCCCATCCCCACGCGGGATTTCAGGCAGGCAGGACACGGGGGTGAGGGTTCAAGTGCCAAGTCTGTATGTGTTTATTCTGCGGACACATTCCTGAGTCCTTCATTTGTGCCAGGAACGCAGCGCGGGGAGGAGGGGAGTGGAAGCGTGTCGGTTCCCGGTGGGAGAACAGAGCCTGCGACGCCGCAGATCCAGCCCCGGGCCTCAGTTTCCCCATCAGAGGAGCGCTCGCCCCGCCCCCGGGGCGGCCCCGGGAGCCTGCTCCGGCAGCGGGGACCCGCCCCGGCCCTCCCCGGTTTCCGCCGCCCGGGCCACGTCCTCGGCGCCCCACCGGAAGCTCCCGCCGGGCCGCAGAGAGGCGGAGGCGGCGGCGGCGGCGGCGGCGGCGCCGAGGTTGGTTGCACTACACCCCGCCCCCACCCGCCGCGCCCCAGCCCCCCCCGCCCCCATCCGCCCCGGGACTGCGGGCGGCTCCCCGGCCCCCGCCCCCCGCTCTCCCCGCCTGGGACGCGCCAGCTCCTGCTTGCTCGGCCGGGGGCTCCCCAAGCGCGGCCTCCCTCGCGCGCGGCCAGGGCCCTGGAATCCGCGCCTGCGGAGCCCGGCCCCGAACTCCCTGCCGCAGCCGCCGGGGTGCCCCGGGTTCGCACATCCTTGTATAGTCGCGGGCGCTGCTCTGCTCCCGGCGTTGCGCAGGCAACTGGATATATGGCGGTGGCGAGACGACGGTCACTTACCCTCGGGGGCCGCACAAACCGGGTTGAGGGCCACAAACAGGCAACCCAGAATCACCGAGCCGGGTGGGAGGGGGCTGTGCTCGTGTTGTGGGACGCAATGGGATCGCAAAGCCAGGTGCCTAACCCCATCCTGAGGGCGGCCCACGGAGTCTCCCAGGGGAGGTGGGGGATGGTCCAGGTGCGCCCCGAAGGACAAGTGGAAGGCTGGGGAGATGGGGGTACGCGGCGCAGAGACTCCGCGTGTGCAGAGCCCCCAGAGGGTGGAGCCACAAAGATGGGACCGATGGAGGTTCAGGGTGGAAGAGAAGGGGGTCAAGGAGACGATAAGGAGCAGAGAAGGGGGCAGGGAACACGAGGGGATGCGGAAAGGAAGGGATTCCGTAAGGAGGGGCCAAGACTCCTGTCAGGTGCTGGCCAGAGGGCTGGCTGGATAGAAACTGGGACGGGCCCAGGGCATTTGGCCACCTCCACTTTGAGAACCTTGGGGAGATTCCAGTGAGGAAGCAGACAGTCCTTTCTGGAAGTTCCTTTAAAGTGAGGAGAGTGTAGATGCGGGAGAAGAATTTGGGATGAGGGTGAGGAGCCTTTTAAAGCAAGTGTGTGGTTAGAAGACAGGCTCTGGGTTCTGAAGTTCCCACCCTTACTCACTGCAGTCCTCACCACTGTGAAACCTTTGGCAAGTCACTTAACTTTGTGCCTCAGTTTCCTCCTCTGTGAAATGAGGATGATGATGACAATACCTGCCTCACAGGGTTTGTGTGAAGGTTAGATGAGATGGCACCTGTAAAAGTACTTAACACAGCACTAAAAAGCAGTACCTGTTACTATTCACTTTTATGATTAGAGCAGTTTGAGCGTATTTGATGCTGATAAGAAGAGGCTGCTGGAGAGGGAGGCATTGAAGACCGAGAGGAGAGAAAAGGGACTAGAGAGAAAGCGTTGGGAACTTGGTGGGGAGATGAGTCTGGGGAGTCCATCTGTGCCAAACCAAGGGAAGGAGGAGGAGTGGGATGCAGGAAGTTTGCAGGTCTGGGGTATGCGGTGAAGGGAATGCCTCTCTGACAATCTTTTCTCTGAAGTAGGCCTCAATGTCACCTGCTGAGAGGGCCAGGCCAGGGCTGGCCCAGGTTGGGGTAGAGGTCTGGATTCACGTTCCAGCCAGAGGGTGCCATGCTGTCTTTCCCAGGAGCCCCGGAAGGTGTGCAGTTGAATCTGCCTGGGGTCGGAGGACATCTGACCTGCCTTGCCAACTCGGGAGGCTCAAGTAGAGCTGATGGATGTGAAAACACTCTGTAAGCATAATTTACCATTTTAGCCCCTTTCCCTGATTTTGAAGGGCCGAAGTCATCGTCGGAATCCAATCTCGAAGCCTTTTGAGCACTTCTTGTGGGCCGTGCACCCTGCCCTGCTTTCACCCCTGATAGTCAGGTGAAGTCGTTATTATCATCATCCCCATTTACAGATGCAGAAACTGAGGTTCAGAGAAGTTAAGGACCTTGTCTCGGGACCTGGAGTCCCACAGACCTGGTGCTAATGCTGCTCCGCCACCCGGGGCTCTGTGACTTTGGCCTGGGCATCTTGCTTCTCTGAGCCGATACGTGGCTGCAGAAGAATTCCCAGCAGGTTGCTCTAAGGATTCAGAAGGAAAACGTCGTGCGGCGCACGGGAGACACGCCAGGAGCTGTAGTTCCACCACTGGGATCTGCATCCCACTTGGCTACTGAGACCAATGCCCTGTGACCTGGTGTATGTTTAGAGGTTTGTTCTCAGGGCCAGGAAGTGGTGCTACCTGACCTGAGCGTGTGGCCACTTATGACTTCCCGAGGGAGGCCGTGGGGGGTGGCCCTGAGCTGTCTATGATCCTGAGGCCTCGGACTTCAAAGGAGGGGAGGGCCCTGTGTCGTCACTGTCACCGTCACTGACGAGGAATGCCATGGGCAGTTCTGGGCCATCAGAGACCTCCCTGCTGCCTCGGGTGGCCCTGGCCATAGGGTTCCTGAATCTTCGAGGCCAGAGGGGCCTTGGAGACCACCTGCTACCACTCCTTATTTTACAGATGGGGTAACCGAGCTCCCCTGTGAGGAAGTGACTTCTACGAGCGACACTGCACAGGGCAGAGTTAAAGCGCCTGGAACTTGTGTTTTGGGACCTGCCTCCAGGCCCCTGGGGATTTCCACCAGAAAGGTGAGCACCCCCACCAAGAATTCTAGGCTGCTTGGAGGTCCAGGGAACACAGACATGTCTTTAGCTGTGGCTCTGTGACATCCCCTGGGGAGGAGGTGGAGGAAGCCAGTGGCAGCTTACAGTTCTCTGACAGGGGAACTCTGACGATTGTTCCTGAAAGTCCGTGACACGGTTCTTTTTTCTCTCTGACTTGCTCTCTTGCTCTCTCTCTCACTCTAAAGAATGACTGGACACTCCAGGGGCCTTCAGGCACCATCCAGGGGATTTTTTCACCACAAAGGGTAATTCCTGCCCCATCCCTGCTGTGACTCAGCGGTGACGTTGAACCACACAAACCAGAAAGAAGAAGATAAAGTCTTCAGACTCCTGCTCACCAGAGAGGGTGGCCTGGGCCAGAACACACCTCTTCTCTCAGCACAAGTTCCACGAGGCTGGTGCCCTGCCCCAGAGGAGCTTAGACGGGCCCCCCGCCAGTCTGGGACGCCAGGATGGCCTCTGGCTCAGCCAGCAGCCCCCGCCCGGCCCCCGATGAGAACGAGTTTCCCTTTGGGTGCCCCCCCACCGTCTGCGAGGACCCATCAGAGCCCAGGGCCCTCTGCTGTGCTGCCTGTCTCTCTGAGAACTCGAGGTGAGGGGTCTGAGGACCAAAGGGGGTGGGGAGAAGGTACCAGGGAGGGAACCCTCATGGGGGGCTTTGGGCAGGTGGCTTCACCTCTCTGGGCCTCAGTTTCCACACCGTTTCCACTGGTGCTGCCCCTCTGGCTATTGGTGGAAGGAGAAGTGGCCGCAGAAGATTGTCAGCTCCCACAGCAGAAGGCTCGCTGGGGCGGAGCGAGAGCCTCTGGGCCCAGCTGGGCTGCTTACTTGCTGTGTGGCCTGGTGCAAATTGCTTAATGTCTCGAAGCCTCAGCTTCCTTGTCTGTAACATGCCGTAAAGCTATTTTCTACCTCCCAGAATTGTTACAGACCCAATCAGTCTTATTCAAAAAAGTTCATATAATAATGAACGTAAACTCCCTTAGTAAAGAACAAACTTCTGTACAAATATATCTCCTTCTACAATACTACCCATCACCTCGTTTGCTGGGAACCCTTTTAAAGGTGACAAAGTATCTGTTTATATTATATATATACAATGTATATTAATATGTATATGTTTTATACAAACATGTATATAAAATGTACATTTTTGTATGTATGAAATGTATATATATCATATATATGAAAATATGCATGTATTTGTATTTAAAATATAAATAACTCAGATGTGACATCAATACGATCATTTTAAGCAACTGTTACACACCCATTGTGTACCACATGCTCTTTCTTTGTGTCTTCAGAAGAGCCTGGAAAGGTGGATCCTGTTATTATCCTATTTCACAGATGAGGACAGTGAGGCCTGATGGAGCGATCAGGTCGGTTTGCCCAGGCCAGTTTCCTGGCAAACGTGCTCTTAAACTGCCATGTGCCCCCAGTGTGACCTCTGTTTGGGGCTTTATAGCTTAAGAAGTGGGAAAACTGAGTCAGACGAGTGAGAAGTTCAAAGCTTTGAGAAGGGGGGAGGCTGTGAGAAGAGGCGGCAGAGGTTGTGGCCATGGAAAGGCCAGGTCAGGGGTGGTGGAGCAAAGCTTGACTGGTTTAGCATCAAGCTGATTGTTCTGGGCTCCTCTCAGGCTTCTGAAACGGGTCTCTTGCCTTCCCTCCTCATTCTTCCAAAACCTGGCAGAGGGGAGGGAGCTGACTAGGTGTCAAAGGGACCCAGGCCTGAGGTCTGAAGAGCTCTGCCCAGCTCTGCTCCTGATCCGCTCTGCCTTGGCCTATCCATTCCCTCCTCACAGGCCTCAGTTCCCTCCCTGCAAAATGGGCGTGACCAGTAGCTCTCACGGTGGATCAGAATCACTTGGGAGCTTTATAAAAGCACATATACCCATGGGTCACCTGGTCAGAGTCCGACACCCACTCCTGGTGAAGAAGCTCAGGCTAGATGTCCTCTGAGGTCCCTTCTTATTCTAATAGGCCACGGTCATCTGTGATGAGTAAAAACAAGAGACCAAAACCTAGTAGAGGAAGCTGCAAAGAGCAAATACAGTCACACTTCCACAATCCCTTCCCTGAACCCCTGGGTCAGATGTCTTCTGGAATTCAGCGTTTTTTCAGATTTTAGGAGAGCGGGTCAGTGCATTCGTACACAATTCTTCCAGCGGAGATTGAGGCAGCACCTTGTAATCAAGCATATTAGTATTTCTGCAATGGAACATATAACTCTTCATCCTAAGTGGGTTGAGTAAGGGCTCCAACAGCCTGGGGTCACTTCAGCTCAGTTTGGGCTGCCAAAGGACTCACCGCCGGCTCCAGGCAAATGTTGGGTGCTCAGGGCTTTGCAGGTTTGGCGGCGGGGAGTCCGGGCTTGTGGACCTGCATGCTCACTGCTGTCAGCCTCCAGGCTTCAGACGTCAGCCTGGGCTTTGGAGCTCTCGGGATAGGGGCTGGTGCCAGGGAGTCAGGACTGCCTCACTCAGCGCGGTTGGTTTGTGTGTCCCCAGGAACGGCGAGGATCGGGTCTGTCTCAAATGCAGAGGGGACGACTCCCAGTCTGTGGGCCCAGGAAGCCTGGTGTCTCAGGAGAAGGTACGTTTGCACAGCCAGGAAAGGGGATTTGTCCGTTTGCTCCATTGGTCGAGGCCAAGTAAGCAGCTGCCTGTGCAGCAACTGGCGGGAGCCTCTGCCCTTGTCTTCAGTCTGGACTGAATTCTGTTCATAAGAGGTAAGGAGACTCATGTTCGCAGTGGTGGCGTGACTTGCCCAAAGCCGCCGGGCTGATCTGCGACAGATTCAGGTTGAGAACAACAGTCTCGGCCAAGCATCCACATACGATAGCCGGCAGGCCAAATCCGGCTTGCCACCTGCTTTTGTATGGCCCACTAGCTAAGAATGGTTTTGTATTTTAAGTGGTTTGCGAAAATCAAAAGAAGAGTGATATTTTGTGACATATGAAGTTCAAACCTTTGTGTCCATAAAGAAAATTGTATTGGTACACAGCCACAACCCATGCATTTATGTGTTGTGTGTGGCTGCTCTCACCCTGCAATGGCAGAGTTGACTAGTTACAACAGAGGCGGCAAAGCCCAAAATATTTGCTATCTGGCCCTTAACAGGAAAAGGTGGCCAACTCTTGATCTAGACAGTTCTTTCTGCTCCTGTCTGCGCTCAGATGGGGAGAGGCCATTCTCAGCTCAGCTCTCAGGCCTGCCGAGCTGTGCTTCCAGGAATAAGAGACAGCTTTGGAAGGGTGAGGGGCCAAGGAGACATCCCCAGGCACCCCAGTTTAGAACCCCAGCCCTTCCAGGTTAGAAGGACCCTCGCAGGTCCTCTGTCCAGCCCAGAGGTCCCCACAGTCCAGCCAGGATTGCTCTCCCACCAGTTCATGACCAAATGATAAAAATAAGGAAATTGTAGTGAGTTTTTCTTAAAACTAAATTCATTCCATTTATAGAATCAACGTTTACTCTGAGATTGTGCCCTTCCTTTAATGTCTTCATATAACTGAAATGATAGTGATGATAGATGGCAGAATTTTTGGTAAAGCTTTTACTTGGTAAAATTAAAATATGGCAATCTTTATGTTAGTCTGTCAATTTAAGAAAAAACACAAAACTTGTATTGGTCCATGAACCGCCATCTGTAAGAACCACTGTTCTACATCTAACCTCCTCATCTTCCATGTGAGGCCCCGACACCCGCTAGGGGGGTCTCAGTGTGGAGCTCCCCAGTCACCAGGGTCTTGCCCTCGGCCATCCTCACTGTCCGCCCTGTTAGGCGCCCAGCTCATTGCAGCCTCTTGCACCGAACCCAGGGGTCAGGAGCCTGGTGCCCAGGGATGGCTCTGTGTAACTCAGTATGTTGCCTGAGATGACTCCCATGCCTGTTTCTCAGTCTGTAAAATGAAGAAGCTACGTTGGCTCCGCAAGGCCTTTCCAGGACCTGTGATGTACGGCTTACTGGTCAATGGCTGGCAGGGCGGCCCTCCCTCCCACCTGTGGGAACAGAGGCAGGCGAGCCTCCACACCTCCTTCTCCCTTCTTGACTTCGGCCCTTCTCCTTCAGAGAGTTGGGGGAGTTTCCTGTTCCACCCAAAGCTGGTTTTGAGCACTCTCCTGCCCCCTGCTCAGCAGCCCGTCCTCCCGCAGACCCTCAAGGGACTAATAGTAAGGGTCCAGTGAGTTTTCCCAGGACTTTACCCTCCGCCGCGTGCTAAGAGGTAATAGGATAAACTGATCCATGGAGGCACTTCCTGAGCCTCCCTCTTGGGCATCTTAGTGGACCGGCCATGAGCTATGAGCCAAGAGCAGACCCATCACTCTTTCCATGGGCCACCTCGCTCCCCCAACAAAAGGGAGGGTGTGGCCAAATGCTTCCTAAGGCCCCTCCCTGCTTGAATGCTCCAGGACTATTATTTTTAACTTGTTCTATTTTTGCCTCTTAACGAAACTAATACACATTCATTGTACAAATCTTAGATAATATAGATGAGATATTTTAATATCTCTTAATCCAGTGATTTTAATGTTTTCATCTTTAATGTGAAATCAGATGAGAGTAGAAGTGCTGTTATTGAAAGGGAGAGTGGACTCGTGTCCTCTTAGTTTCTCTCTCCTGTCCCAGCCCCCTGGGGATTCTGGGAATTCCTAGGGCCCAGCAGGGCACAGTTTGAAACTGGCTGCCTTAAACCAAATGAAGTAACTCTGATGGTGGAATTCCAGGCACTCTAGCAGGCTTTGGGGTGGGAGGGGTGCTGTCTACATTTGGGGGTGGAGGCCTCTTGGACACAGGCAGACCTCTGAGAAGCATCACTCTCCCCCACCCCCGGCTTCCCGGCCTAACACAGTCATCACTGCACCCCGGTGGAAAGCTGGGGAGTGGGCGAGCCAGTGGTCTGACACCTGCCGAAAGCCACATAGTGGAAAGACCAGGGACTCCTCTGGCTCCTGACCCTGGTGGGGACTTTGAGGGACTTTTGAGCAAAGGAAGGCAGCTGATTATAAGTTAACACTTTGTGTATGTGGTAATTCCAAAGTTCATCTGTGCATCTGGGGAAACCTAGCAAAAGGAGGTAGGGTGGAGGGGCCTGGCTGGGGACCAGCTGAGCTGAGCCCGGAGCCGCCCATCCTCACAGACACTTTCCATGCCATCTGCTTATCACTTTGTGCTCTTCCTCTGACTTCATTAGATTAATCTCTCTCTAAGAAGTGCTTGGAGCCATAGACGGAGTGGCTAATGTCAGAGGAGATATTAAAGGATTACCGTTGACCTAGTTAGAGCCTTGGTTCTTGCCGGGAGAATCAAGACCTTCCTACAGAAGCGACAGTGAAGTAGGGGACGACCCAGTGGCTGGAAAAGAAGATTTCAGTTCTGTCTGTCTGCGACCCTGTGAATGGGCTCGTTTCTCCCACTCTTCCCTCTGAGGCCACTCAAGAAGGTCAAAAGCAAGCTGGCCTCAGAGTCTGGTGGCTTACAATAATGCCTTAACTTATTCTACAATCAGAAAATGACAAGAGGTCAAGCTGTCTGGTCTAGTTTCCGTTCTGTACTGGATTCGTGCCAGGTGGCTTTATGTTCTCCCAGTGACGGGGAGCTCATTACTCTGTGCAATGACCACTTTCCCTACAGGGGACTCTGACTGTTGTACCGTTTTCCTCTTTATTTGTGCTGTACTCCCTTGGGGCCACAAAAGGCGAATCAGTCAGCCTCTTGCCCCTAAGGCAGCCCTGCCTCTGTGGGAAGACACTGACCACGTTCCTCTTGAGTCTGTCCCCAGTCTCTATGCATTTGGCATAACTGCTCCCGTTTATTTGTGTCCTGTCAAGTGTGATGCCTGGACGTGAATCCCCGAGCCCTTACACTTCTGAGCTTGACACTTGCATCTACCCTCGTCGATCCCATGACATCCTGTGTCACCACCTCCTGCCTCCTAGGCTAGTGATATTCAAATGTTTTATGCAGGTTAAAATAACACAGTCAGCCCTAAGTTCTGGAATCCACCAAGTGCTATGGAAAAACAGGAATGAGCAAGACTACTTCCAATTGGGAAAATCAGGCAGGGCTTCCTGGAGGAGGTGGCAGTTAAACTGAGCAGAACTTGGCAGAGAGGAAACTGGCCCAGTTACAGAGGTGGGCAGGAACTGGCGGGCAGCGACAGACTGACTGGGTCCACTCTATGACTGTAGAGTGCTTCTCCCTCAGCACTAGCTGAGACCTGATCAAAAACGGCCCCCGTGGGCATCTAAGACCTCAGCCAGCCTCTGTGCCCAGCACAGACCCTCTGTTCCGTGCAGTGGCTTCACTGAGGCAGCTCTCATGCTCCTGGCACCCTCTTAATGCTCACATTCTCAGAGGCCCACAGGTCCCCGAGTGGGGGCCTCTCGCTGGGACCCTCTACTGACCCCGTCACAAAGGGCCTGGGTAACCAGGGTGGCCGGGAACACTGCACCCCCCCAGACTTCTCGGACACAGACAGAAGGACGAGTGTTCCCTCAGGGCTGGGATTTTGTTTTCTCTGTTTCTGTTTCCTCCTCAGAGGAAATTCCACTGCAAATTTTATTTTTAGCAGTTTGCAAGCAATGAGGCAACTCACACAGGGGCCGCTTGTGGCACCAGACACACACCAGGCTTGGCCCAGGACAGATGCCCTGTTCTTCCTCTGCAGCCCCAGCCTGCTTCCCTCTCCTGTCCCCTCGGTCCCCAGCCTTCAGATGAGGCCGCCCTTTGGTCAAGGTGAGGACTCTGTAGTGAGGAGGAACGACCCTGGATGTGGACCCCAGGCCCCTGGCCTCTCCCTGGCCTTTGCCTCCACCTTGCATCCCCTGCTGCAAGTCATGGACCATCCATGAGCTTTGGCTCCTCCACCTACGCAAAAGAAGCAGAACCTCAGAGTCCCGACCTCCCCCTCGTGGTACTGTGAGATCCGATGGGGTGGTGCGCACAGGGGTGCAGGGAAAGCAGCAAGCCCTTGCCAGGTCTCTAACTATGGGACAGAGGACCCGGATTCTGGTCAGCTCCTCAAATGTGCAAGCTTGGTGTGCCCTCCGGCCAGCCGTTCTCTCACTTTGCCCATCTGTATGAAGGTGAAGCTAATTCTGCCCTGCCTGCCTCCAAGGATGGCTGCAGGGACCCTATGAGATAACACGCAAGGATGCCTCGGTCCTGTATAAATGCGAACACACTGAGGGATGTTCCTCACTCCCCGAGGAAACCCAATGGGAAAATGGAGTCTTACAGAACTAAGAGTTTGAAATGGGAAGATTAAATGAAATGCATGTATATGGCAGCCATTGGGGGTGGGGGTGGGGAGGAAAGATGTCCCAAGGGCAGTGCTTAATCTATTAGGAATAAAAATATTAGTAATAGTAAGATTCCTAGTAATAATAATGGCTAACATTTAGGGAGCACTGCGTTAGGCAGAATGATGTTCCCCGAAGATGTCCACGTCTTGATCCCCAGCACCTGTGACTCTGTTACCTTAGTGGCTGCATTGATCTGCTCGGCCTGCCATAGCAAAGCACCACAGACTGGGTGGCGTAAACAACCAGAAATTTATTTTCTCACAGTTCTGGAGGCAGCAAGTTCGAAACAGTGTTGGTTTCTCCTGAGGCCCCTCTCCCTGGCTTATGGATGCCGTCTTCTCCCATTGTCTTCAGGTTATCTTCCCTTGGTACATCTGTGTCCACGTTTTCTCTTCTCCTGAAGGCACCAGGCATGTTGGATTAGGGCCCGTCCTAATGACCTCACTTTAGCTTAAAGACCCTCTCTCCAGACACAGTCAGGTTCTGGGGGTTAGGACTTGAAATATGAATTTGGTGGGGGATCCAGCTCAGCCTGTAACAATGGCAACAAGAACTTTGGAGATGTGATTCAAATAAGGGTCTTGAGATGAGGCGATTACCCTGGATTCTGTAGCTGAGTCCAGTGTAATCAGAGGGAGACAGGAGAGTCAGGTCAGGGAGGGATGGGAAGATGCTCTGCAGCTGGCTTTGAAGATGGAGGATGGGACCACAAGCCAAGGAATGCAGGCGGCCTCTAGAAGCTGGAAAAAAAACAAGGGAACAGCTTATCCCCTGGGGCCTCCAGAAGGAACACAACTGCAGACACCTTGATGTTAGGACGTCTAATCTCCAGAACTGTAAGATGACAAATTTAGGTTGTTTAAGCCATTAAGTTTGTGGTGCTTTGTTATAGCAGCAATAGGTGACTAATACCAGAATTTACATGTATTATCTCATTTAATCCTCACAATAACTCTGAAGTGGGGGGTAGTATTATTATCTACATTTTGAAGATGAGGAAACTGAGACTTAGAGAGGTTAATAACTCTCCCAGGGCCACACAGCTCGTATTTGAAGCGACAAAAATGGGCTTTGCGCCCCAACAGGCTGGCTCCAGAGCCCACCACCTAACACCTGTAGCTCTCCAAGGAATGAATGATTGACTGATGATGGGACTCTGGGCAGCCTGGCTGGCCACCGAGGCATCTGACAGCCTCTCAAGTCACCCCTACCCTTCCTCTGTCAGCCATTGGAGGCTTGTCACAGCCCGCACGCATCCACGCATCATCCTAAGGATGACCCCTACATTCATGTAGCACTTTCCACCCTGCAACGGGCTTCCACTGCACAGACACGACACCAGTGTGGCTGAGCTGCCCAAAGAACACATCCCTCCACCTGCGGGGTGTTTTGGGAATGCCACTGACTTTATCCCTTTCACCTTTGTATCCCTCCTGTGACTCACTTCAGCTTAGAACCGCAGAGGATGTGAATCGTGGACTTGTGGGGAGTTTCAGGCCTGAGAGCTACCCCTGGTACCTTCACCCAGGAACCAGGGCCGCACCCAGCATCAGCCCCTCTGTTATTCCCACGTGTCGGGAAGCTACCTGCTGGGAGAGGCTGCGTCACTGCACGCTCCCCAGCGCCAGCACGGTCTTCCTGCCAAGGCTGCCCTCTGCCCCCCAAACATCTGTTTTCTATTCTTTTTTGGGAACGACTTGTGCTTGAAGCCCAGGGCAGTGGGCTGAGGGCGGGTGGCCCTTTGCTGGGCTGTGCTCTGTGTCCCAAACCAACTAAACTCATTAAACCCACAGCTTATTTTACTTTGAAAGAATAATAACTAGTGTGGCTTTGTATTCGCTTGGTCCAAGAGGCCTCCGTGCTCCCCATCTTTCATCCTGAGCCCCATCATTCATTTTGCCCCATGAGATTATTCTTTAAAAAAAAAAGTTCTTGGAAAATCAAGATATTTATATACGGTAAAGTTCACTCACTTTAAGTGTACAGTTTGATGAATGCTGGTAAATGTATACAATTGTGCGACCACTGCAGCCAAGATGGTGACTTTCTCCCCTGGAAAAAGCTTCCCTGGGGCCCTAGATAGTCAGGCTCCCCCGGCTGCAGCCCCAGATAGCCACTGGTCTGGTTTCTGCCACTATGGTTTGGTCTTTTCTAGAATCTCTTAAGAATAGAATCATAGCATGTAGTCTTTTGTGTTCAACTTTTGTCGTTTAGCATGTTTTTGAGGTGTCTCCACGTTGTTGCATATATTGGTGTTTTAGTCCATCTGATCGCTGATGGATAGAGATGTACCACAATTTGTTCACCCGTTCACCTGCTGGTGCGTATCTGGATCGTTTCTAGCTTGGGCTATTATGGACAAAGCTGCTGTGAACATTCACATACACACATGGACATATGTTTCAGTTTCTCTTGGGTGAATTCCTAGGAGTGAAATGTCTGGGTGGTATGATAACTTGATACTCGTGGTTTATGAGTAAGTGACTTTATAAGTATAATTTAACTTTATGAGATATTTCCATAGATTTTCCCAGAGTGGCTGTACCATTTTGCATTCCTACTAGCAACATAATGAGTGTTCCAGTTCCCCCACATCCTCACCAAAACTTGGTATTGTCATTCTGTTTTCATTCTAGCCATCTAGTGAGTAGATTGTGGTATTTCATTGTGGTATTTCATTATAATTTGCATTTCTCTGGTGACTAGTAATGTTGAGCATCTTTTCATAGGCTTGTCGTTTATGTGTCTCCTTTTGTGAAGTTTCTGTTCAGTATTTTACCCATTTTTGTTAGGTTGTTTATCTTCTCATTGTTGAATTGTAAGAGTTCTTTATATATTTTGGACATGAGCTCTTTTCAGATATGTGTTTGGGAAAAGTTTTCTCCCGGTCTCCCGTGGGCTGACTCTTGACAAGATAGTGATGCAGTGTGGGGGGAGCCCTGTGACCGTGCTCTTCTCCTTCGGCAGATCCCTCCTCCTCTGTGAGCCCCAGTTTTTTCATCAGTAAATGGGAACAAAAAATGTACGCAGCCCTCCCCACAGTGTTTTTAAGGACCGTAGGAAGAATTATGACCATGAAAGCACTTTGTAAACTCCTCAGACCTGTACCTAGGTTAAGAGTGTTGTCCAGTTTCTGTTGAGTCCTGAGATCCTTCTGTATCCCCACCCCCTCCCCACCAGCTGCACGTTACCTGGAAGGGAGAGCACTGCAGGGCAGGCGCGCCTCAGTGAAGGATGGATTGCCAGGGAGAGATCCCGAGGGGAACTGTGAGGAAAGTCCCCATGGGCTTCAGGAGGAGGGAGGCGCTCACTCATGCAGCCAGCAGGTTCCTAGCTCCTGTGCCAGGCGTTGCCCCCAGCACTGGGAACAAAGCCGGGACCCTCACAGAGCCCCCAGACCAGTGGTAGCAACCATAGAGTGAATGATGACTTCAGGGCTCAGTGGAACACGTCCTGATGGGAGAAGTGGCAGCACTGCCCAGGATCGCAGCCAGGGCCCTGATCCTGTTTTGAAGGAAGCTCACAGAAGGGCTGAAGTTCAAAGGGTGGAAAGGAGTCAGCCAGGCGGAAGGAACAGCATGTGCAGTCATGTGGCCCAGCCCATCTCATGCTCTGGTGGATCCTGGTGATTGCAGAGAGCCCCAGTGGTGGCCACTGGGACCCCCATACCATCCAATGACACGGTTATTATTTGCAGGACCTCCCGGAGGTGGCTGAGGCTGGAGTTGGGTGCCCCTTTGCAGGTGTCGGCTGCTCCTTCAAGGTAAGCATCTGAGTGTGAGACAGAGATCTGTCCACTACAGGCCCAGACCTCTGGATCACCCCACTCCAGCCCCTCCAGGATTTTCCCACAATGTCAAGCTACTCCTCTGGATGTCCCTTACATGAATGACTCTCTCAAGCAACAAATCCCACTGGTAAATCATCTCCATACTCAGGGAAGTTCTTCTTAATGTCTCACCTGAGCATTGTAGCGTCACTAAAATGACCCCACCCCTACCCCGCCCTGGTGCCTCTCTCCATGGTCCTGAATCAGCATGACACTCAAGGGCAGGGCAGACTTGTTGCTCTGGAGGCCGGGATGCACGTGACTCATGATGCCAGGGTCCTCCTCCAAATCCCCCTGCTGCACACAAAGCCACTTCCCCCTTGCTAGGTGAATGGATCTGACTTTCCTTGGCAACCTTTGTCGGCAGCACTCTCCGCGGCTCCCTGGTCCTCCCTCCACCTTCTCTGTTTTCACTGATCAGCCCTGTTCTCTTGGCAGGGGAGCCCAAAGTTCATGCAGGAGCATGAGGTCGCCTCCCAGGCCACCCACCTAAACCTGGTGTTGGGCTTCATGAAACAGTGGAAGGCCCAGCTGGGCTCTGGCCTGGGGTCCGGGCCCATGGCCCTGGAGCAGAATCTGTCAGACCTGCAGCTGCAGGCGGCCGTGGAGGTGGCTGGAGACCTGGAGGTCGACTGTTACCGGGCACCCTGTTCCGAGAGCCAGGAGGAGCTGGCCCTGCAGCACTTCATGAAGGAGAAGCTCCTGGCCGAGCTGGAGGGGAAGCTGCGTGTGTTTGAGAACATCGTCGCTGTCCTCAACAAGGAGGTGGAGGCCTCCCACCTGGCCCTGGCCGCCTCCATCCACCAGAGCCAGCTGGACCGTGAGCACATCCTGAGCCTGGAACAGCGGGTGAGCGTGGGAGGCAAGTTGACCTTCAAGGCCGGCTCAGGGGGGTGCCCTTTGCCCTATCGTATCTCCAGAGCAGTGGACCTGCCTTCCTTCGAAGCATTCTCCCTGCTCAGAGCAGTCACTTCCCCATCAGGAAGTCTCTCTTCTGTGTCCTGAGACCTTCGAGGAAGAGCACTGAGTCAGAAGTTATAGTCAGGGCAAAACTCCCCCATGCAGTGCTTCATTTCCTTCGCTTGAACTTCTTCTGTTATGGGATACTCCGTCCCTAAGCTTCTCATTCCATTGCTGGACATTTTTCACTATTAGAGAGTTCTTCCTTATACTAGACTAAAACCAGCCTCTCTGTGTCTTCCCTGCATTGTTCCTGGCTGTGCCCCTCAGGGCCCAGAAAGCAAATCTGACTTCTTGTCCCCATGGAAGCCCCTCAGAGATGAGCAGTCAGTGATTATATCCTACCTGAATATTTCATTCTTTAAACTAAATGCCCCCAGTGCCTTCATCAGAGCACACTGTTTTATGCTGTCCTCATATGCTCCAGCTCAGTCTCTAAGGGATTCCACATGCTCAGAGTGGAGGTCCCAGACCTACTCCAGATAATCCACATATCTGACAGTTCTTGGTTGAGCAGGGCTGTCCCCTCCTTTGTTCCAGAGCTTATACTTTTCTTAATATAACCAGTCATCATGCTAAGGTTGCATTTTTTTTTGCAGCAACATTACATCACTGTCTGATGTTGCGTTAGGCCCGGATTTTAGTTCCAGCTCCCCCATTAACTTGTTGTGTAGGTCTGAACAAGTCACCTTCCCCCTGTGGACTTCCACTTTCTCACCAGTAAAGTTAGGGATTCAGTTTTCTTTAAGGATACTCACTTCCCTACATGAGCACACCCAAGAATAAATCTGTGTTCTTTCAAATGTCAATGGGGAAACCTACGAGAGGAGCCAGGTGCTGGGTTCAAGTGAGCCAGTAAAACCTTTATTTATGTACCTCTTGCCCCAGCTAGAAGGTGGGCTCCCTGAGGGCAGACCATGTCTTCAGTTCATCAGCAAACTTCCTGGCTCTGCTCTTACTTGCCAGACACTGTGCAAGACAGAGATAAAATGAGCATGGGCCCAGCCCTTTGTAGGGGAGACCATCTGTCTGGTAGGAAAGGCAGGAAAATATATCTCATAAAACTGTGGTAAGGGCTGACTAAGAATGTAGATGAGAGAGACCAGCTGAGCTAGGGCAGTGTTGAAGGCTTCCCAGAGGAAGGGCTCTGTGACCCGGATGCCTATGGATGAATAGGAGTTTGGTGGAGTGGAGAAGGCAGGAAAAGGAATTCCAGGAGAGGGAACAGCACGTGCAAAGGCAGGTGCACATGCCTGTAGGAGGCTGGTCAGGAAGACATATTGTGGGCAGATCTATCTCCGTGTCCCTCCATCCCCACCCCCTCCCCAAGCGGGGTTCTGGTGTCCCTGGCTGAATGGGTGTCCCCACAGGTGCTGGAGTTGCAGCAGACCCTGGCCCAGAAAGACCAGGCCCTGGGCAAGCTGGAGCAGAGCCTCCGCCTCATGGAGGAGGCCTCCTTTGACGGTACCTTCCTGTGGAAGATCACCAATGTCACCAGGCGGTGCCATGAGTCGGCCTGCGGCAGGACTGTCAGCCTCTTCTCCCCAGGTACCACCTCTCCAGGGGCACAGAGACCAGCTGGGGGAGGTTGGCCCCCTGGGCCCAGGAAACAGGGAGAGCAGTCAATTCTGGGACAGCCGTGCCGTGTCCAGTTAGACCGGTGTCCATCCAGGCCACCTGCTGTGCTGGGCCCACGGAGCTGGTAGACTCCCCGCTGAGCCACACAGAGCATGGGCTGTCTGAAGCCAGCACGCCCTGCACCTCCCTGAGCATCCGTCACGTTCTGCAGATGGGAATAAAAGTTGTCCTCTGTTCCAGGTGGATAGCGGGTGTGAGAGTGTGCTCTGAACCAAAGCTTGTGCAAATGAGAACACCATGGGACCCCGGCCCTCGGGGAGCCAGCGGGTCTAAGTCAAAGAGTGTGCGTTTGTGTATGATTGGGGAGCACGTGAGTGAGCATGGAGTAAATTGGGCAGTTCTTACTCATCTCTGGACCTGGCACAGCATCCTGCATGAAGTGCTTAGTCATTAGAGGTTTCCTTAGCTGATAACCGTTTATACAGCAGTGCGTGTGTTTGTGCAGAAACTGCTCAGACGTGGGTGCTCTTCCCCTCGCCTCGTTCATGCGCGTCTGAGTGAACGGTGGGTCGTTAAGGAGCATTTCTGTCAGTGCCGATTTTAAGGACCCCTCACAACTGCCCCAGCTTCGTGCCTTTCCTGTTCCTGAGCTCCTCTGACACACCCAAGACCCCCAGCGCTGGGGTCACTCCTCTCCAGCCTCCTGACGTTATGGAGGGGGAGACAGAGGCAGCGGAGTTTGCCCCACGCCACAGAGCAGGTCTGGGTCCCAAAGCCAGGCCCCGTGGGCTGCTTCTCCAGGCTTCCTTCCAAAGAGGGAAAAGCAAGCAGTGGCTCTGGCTTCTTGTTCTAGAATATGTAAGGGGCAGACATGAGTCAGACTGTCAGCCGTTGCTTCCCTGCCCCTTCCTGCCTGCCCCTACCCCCGACACACACACACCCTGTGCCCACTCGGCCCCTCCTAGAGGGGCCGTGTGGTAACAGCCCACACTCAGAGGGCCCTTTCAGCTGTCCAGGGAGAGAGTCCACAGGCCGCTGTGCTTAGTCACCAGGGGATGACTCAGCCCTCAGGGGCCCTTGCCAAGGGTGGAACTGTGAGCTGGCCCGCTCTCCCCTGGCTTCCAGGAGACCCCAACCACTTGACCTAGGGCAGCAGAAAGAAATCAGTGTTGGGAGATAGGAGGCCCCGGCCATAATCCTGGCTCTGGCCCCAACACACTGTGAGAGCGTGGCCAGCCACTTCCCCTCGCTGGGCTCTGTTTCCTGAATACGAAATGCAGGTTGGTTAAATCCAAGTGTGGTCCCAGGACCGGCAGCATCATCATACCCTGCCAACTTGTCAGAAATGCAAATTCTCCGTCCTCACCCCAGCACGACCCAGTCCCGAGCTCCGGGGGGCTCTGCAATCTGTGGTTCTGACGGCCAGTGGACCCTGGGCTGAACGATCTCCTAGAGCTGGGTCCCCTCTCTGATGCTCTATAATCGAGAAGATTGCTGGGCTCCCACCCCACATTTCTTAGCTTTGAGCCACTGACCTTGGGCATGCCTAACCGCCGGTCCTAGTTTGGTCGTCTGCAAAGTCCAGCGCTCTCCAGCTGACTGTGGCTTCCGCATTTCAGCTTTCTACACTGCCAAGTACGGCTACAAACTGTGCCTGCGGCTCTATCTGAATGGGGACGGGACGGGGAAGAGGACCCACCTCTCGCTCTTCATCGTGATCATGAGAGGGGAGTATGACGCTCTGCTGCCGTGGCCTTTCCGGAACAAGGTATGGGCCGGGGCAGCGATGGCGTGGGGCTGGGGGACCTGGGTCCTGGTCCTCGTTTAGCCATGAACTGGCTGTGTCACCTGGGCAAGTCCTTTGCCCCCTCTGCGTTATCAGTTTCCTCTTTTATCAAACAAGAGCCGAGTTCACATCCGGTAGCCAAGGCTCCCTCCAGCATCCTGAGTCCAGGGGCTAATGTGCCTGGACCAGTGCCCCTGGAAGACAGGTAGAAATGAAATCCACTTGGTGGGGTGAATAAGGAAAACTTCCTGGAGGAGGTGCTGTGGGGCCAGCCTGAACTGGCAGCATTTTCAGAAAAAGGGAAGGAGGCAGACACCACTACACACCTCTTAGAATGGCTAAAATCTAGAACACTGACAACACCAAATGCTGGCCAGGATGTGGAGCAACAGGAACTCTCCTTCATTGCTGATGGGAGTGTAAAATGGTATAGCCACTTTGGAAGACCATTTGGTGGTTTCTTACAAAACTAACAGACTCTTGCCATATGATCCAGCAGTCACACTCCTTGATATTTACCCAAAGGAGTTGAAAACTAATGTCCACACAAAAACCTGCACACACATGTTTACAGCAGCTTTATTCATAACTGCCCAAACGTGGAAGTAACCTAGGTGTCCTTCAATAGGGGAATGGATAAATAAACTGAGGTACATCCAGACAACAGAATATCATTCACCACTAAAAAGAAATGAGCCATCAAGCCATGAAAAGACATGGAGGAACCTTAAATGCATATTATTAAGTGAAAGAAGCCAATCTGAAAAGGCTACATACTGTATGATTCCAACTATGTGACATTCTGGAAAAGGCAAAAATATGGAGACAGTAAAGAGATCAGTGGTTGTCAGGGGTTGAGAGGAGGGAAGCATGCATAGGCAGAGCGCAGAGGATATTTAGGGCAGTGAAAATACTCTGTATAAGACCATACATAATGATAGCTACGTGTCACTATACATTTGTCCAAACCCATAGAATGTACACCACCAAGAGTGCACCTTGATGTAAACTGTGGACTCGGGGGGATTCTGATGCGTCAGTGTGGGTTTATTGATTGTAACCCATGTACCGCTCTGGCACAGGATGTTGATAGTGGGGGAGGTTGTGTGGGGCAGGGGTAAGTGGGAAATCTCTATATTTTCCATAGTTTTGCTGTGCACCTAGAACTGCTCTAGAAATAAAATCTACTGAGAATATTTAAGAGGGTGGGAGAAGCGAGGCATTCTCTGCAGGTGGACAGCAGCAGCCAGGGGCTGAGGGAGGAAAGGGGGGGAGGGGTCGAGAATACGGACCTCAGCTGGGGTGGAGGGAGAGAAGGGAAGACAGGTAGGGCGGGGGCGGGAGTGCCACCGAGGTCTGGATATGAGTCAGTGGCTCAGTGGTTCCCATACGTTTGGTGGAGATTTTAAAAATACCAACAACTGGGTCTCAACCACGGTACATGGTGCGACCTGAGCTTTAGGGTCTTCAAAACCTTCCCAGAGGACTTAAGTGCAGCCAAGTTTGAGAGCGCGGCAGTGGGCGGTGGGAAGCCGCTTCACGTCCTGATGGGCATTTCAGTGATGTGCCAGGAAGGAGGGTTTGAGTCACCTGTAGATCACCAGCTTCCCCGGGGTACACATATCCGCCTTGTGCATACCAGAAGCTCCATTCATGTTTCAGGGCGTTGACTCACAGCCCCTCAGTTGAAGGCCTATCTTTTCTTGCCCCAGGAGGTTCCAGCTATAGCTGACGGATCAAACCTTTCAGAGTGGAAGGGGCGTTATAGGTTATCCAGTCTGGCCTCCTTGTCAGGGTTTCAGTCTCATCCTTAGCCCCCAGCAGCCAACCAAAATTGACTATGGCATCCGAATTCTCCCCTTCCTGCTGGATAGAACATCTGATCCCTAATCATAGGACAACCCCTGAAGCCTGCTCAGAATACCAGGTGCTTCCATTCCTGGGGTCTCGCTATGTGCCAGGTGTGGTCCTTACGTTGTTTCTTTGAGTCCTAATCAGTCAGAGCTCAAGGTCAGAGAGCTACACAGGTGATAGACCAAGACCCGGCTCCGAGCCTCGGTGCTGCTGCCCAGGGCCTGACCTCCCACTGCCCCTCGCCCTGCAGGTCACCTTCATGCTCATTGACCAGAATAACCGGGAGCACGCCATCGATGCCTTCCGGCCCGACCTGAACTCAGCATCCTTCCAGCGGCCCCAGAGTGAAACCAACGTGGCCAGCGGCTGCCCGCTCTTCTTCCCCCTCAGCAGGCTGCAGTCGCCCAAGCACGCCTACGTGAAGGACGACACCATGTTCCTCAAGTGCATCGTGGAGACAAGTGCTTAGGGTGGGCTGGGCTGGGTGAGCCACACCTGACTCCTGCGGGAGCCCCAGCTCCGACTGCGGCTTTAGCAAGATGACTTAGGTCCTGCCCTTGACGCCCAAAATCCCAGGGTGCAGTGATGGGCAGGGGCTGGCTTGATCTGAGCAGGACTAACAGATGGACTGTGGCTGGCCATCACCGTAGGGTGGCACGACCTTGGGCTGGGCCCACAAAGGCAAAGGGTCCAGGAGGAGGCGGTGGCAGAACTGTCCTCCTCTGCACTGACCACACTGCCCTGGAGGCCGGGGAGCCACTCCGGCCCTGAATGTTGAGATAGGCTTTGACCAAGATGGGGAGGGAATAGGGACCAGGCCCGGGGCACGGATGGTGAGCTGGAGAGGCAGGACCTGAACCAAGAAGCTCTCAGGATGGGACACTCTCTGCAGGGCTACCACGGAGCACTGGAAACATGCTTGCTCTCTTCCTGCCCGAAGTCAGAACTGGGACCAGGAGGTGGAAGGGAGTGTACAATGTGAATTCAGTCTGTCCGTGCCTGGACTGAGTTCCCCATCACTGGAGGCAAGCAAGCAAAGCCAGAGGGCTGCACTTGGGGGAAGGCATCAAATTGGGGGTTGGATTTGAAGACCTTGAAGCTTCCTTCCACCCCAGAAAGTCTCTAGGTCTAAGCCTTCTGGCCCAGGTGAGGCCTAGGTCTGCAGAGGTTCTAGAAACATTCAGGAGCCTCATGCCCTCCAGCTTCCAGGTGGGCCTGGCTGGCCCACATGGCACCTGCCACCCTGGGCCTGGCAGCTCAGCTTCCCTAACATGCAGGGGCACACACAGGCCCTGCGTCCTGTACTACCACCAGCAAACACCCCTTCACCTCCTCCAGGTGAAACCAGGTCACTGAGCTCCCAAGAGCATCCAGAAGGACCGCGGAGGAGAGGGGCATAAGCTCTCCTCTCTCCCTGCCTGGGGGTCCCACTGTCAGCACTTTCCAGAATCTCATTTCACCTGGTTCCGCAAGGTACTCACTTCTCTAGTTGACTGATCAGGGCCTCTGAGCCCCTGAGCACAGGTTGTCCTTTTAAATATGGATAAAACCAAAGAAGGAATGTTTTTCATCTCGTGAAGTTTTCATGCAGTGTATGGTTGTGGGAGTCAGTCACTGAGCCAGTTGGAGAAGACCATTGCTGACTTCCAGGTGGCACTGTCAGTTTCACAGTTACCATCCCAAGCCGGTGTGCTGGCAGGAGCATCCCCTCGGCCTCAGCCTTCCCCTTTCCATCATGGGGATGCCCACCCCAGCCTGCCTCCCTTACTGGGCTCGTGAACCTCAAAGGAGATGCCACACAGGAGAGGCTGGAGAGAGAAAGGCCCCGGGCACCGTGGCCACCCACCTCACCCGTCATGGCCTGGCCGTGGCCCACGGTCGTCTTCTCTCCTTGGAGACCTCACACAACCACCTCCTGCAGAGACCCTCACCCAACTCTCCAGAGACCCTGAGATTCCTGTTGCCGCTTGGGGCTCCAGGTCAGGACCTCGCTCCTCTGCCCACCAGCCTTCTCACAGCTCATTCCTCCTCTACATGCTGAGGCCACCATCAACTTCACTCCTCACACCCTCAGGGTTTTCATCTGTGAAATGGGTCAGCAGCCCTGCCTGTCCTCCTGGCCCAGCATTTGAGAGGATTGTCCTCACGAAGGAGGTGAGGGAGCAGCTCAGCACAGTGGGCTCAACACATCAGAAAACCAGACCCAGCCTGGGTCCAAGCCCGGCATCCCGTCGTGCCTCAGCTTCATTTGAAAACGGGGGGTGGGGGGGGCGCATCCTCCCAGCCCTTCCCAGCTCACAGGGTTTTCACGAGGCCAGAATACGAGAATGGCGCGTTAGTGCTGTGTCTGCGCGACGGCATCGTGCCGTTGGTGACAGGCTACAAGCACGTCAGGGCTGCTTTTTCTTGTCCCCACCGTCGACAGCCTGTCAGTATTGGAGACTGACTTGCTTCCCCTCGACCCGTGTAAATAACAAGGGAAGGTCTGGCCTAGCGAGTGATGGGGACCTCGCCTCAGGGCTGGTGTCCTGACAAATAGCATCTTCATCCCTACTCAGTGAGTGCTGAGCTGACAAGGCATTTGTAGGACAAGCTACTGCTGGGGACAGCTATTCCTCTGTACCTTTGATTGCTTATTTCTCATGGGAAGAGACCTCTCTTTGAACAGTGTGAGTCACAGCCATTCTTTCAGCAAAGCTCTATTGAGACCCTAGGGAGGGAAAGGTAACGTGAGCCCCCCACCCTTGAGAAACTCTTAGTTCAGCAGAGGAAGTAGATACGGAAGTAGGTCATTGAAACTGATAAGAGAAGCTCAGAGAAAGCACAGGATCCCAGATCCACTGGGTGAAGCAGGGAAGGCTTCGCGGAAGAGGTGGCATTTACACTCAGCCTTAAAATATTGTGAGATGCTGAGGATAGGGGTGTAGGGGAGAGTAAAGACGGAGATGAGAAGCAGGTAGGGTCTGTGAGGCAGAACCCTGGGGGAGAGGCAGAAAGGTAGGATGGGCATCGAAGGCAGTCCCAACTGCCAGAAAGTAGGAGCACTGGGTGGGGGAGGTCCCAAATCACCTGCGTGACCCTCTGGGCTGTCAACAGCAGGGATGATTTCAAACAGTAGTTTATCTTCCAAAGAAGCCCTGTGTTAAGTGCACAAAACATCTGACATCTCGCCTCTTACAGGTGATTCAGGGGAGGGAGGCAAGAGGCAGGCAAAGCCACGTTTCACTGGCTCCTCCCCACCCCCCACCGTTTCATCCCCTCTTAGAGATTGGGAAGCTGAGACCGGAGAGGCCAGGGGCCTTGTCCACGTGGGAGCGGGGGAGGCAGCTGGAATCAGGGGCCAGGTCTTTCGCTTCTAGTTACTTTCCTTCCTCTTCAGGCTTCCTTTGGCTGAAGTCTGTGTCTTCAGCTTCAGTGAGGTCACACCTTCCTGGGAGGCCTTGGGAGGCAATGGGTCCCTCTGCTCCCAGCCAGAGGGCCAGCCCTGCGGGACTACCCATGTTAACCCAGCGGTGCCCGGGAGGAGAGGGTGGGCACAGTCAGCACCCACACGTTGGCTGTCACCGGCAGCTCACGGGCCACCTCACTGGTGTCCACAGGTGACCCTCGGACAACCCTGAGCAGTAGGGACAACTATTATGTATGCCTTTATTGTTGCTTTCGGATTGTAAGAGATATATACTTATTGTAGAAAAACCAGAAAACTATAAAAGTAATATACAGAAGGAAGTAAAAATCACCCATGAGCTCAGTGTGCAGAAAGTACTACGAGAAACATTTTAGTAAATTTTGTCTTTTCGAAACAGTGGATACAAACACACACATAGACTTTTAAAATGCAATTAAAATCATACTCATTACAGCATTATGTTCCTTTTTCACATAACGTCCCGTTATCACATTCTACCATTAGCCCCTTGGTATCAGCAAAGACACGGAAACTAAGACAAGGGAAGTAACTGGCTCAGAGCCACTCCAAATAAGTGCTGGAATCAGGGTTCACACTCAGGTCTTTTGGTGCCAAACCCAGGGCTGAAATCATTAAGACTGTTCTCAGATGGAGAAACTGAGGCACAGAGGAGGGAAGTGATGGCCTGAGATGGCACGACCAGTGTCTGAGAGGGGTGGGGCCGACGCGGGTCTCCTGGACTCCTCTGTCCAGGTGGGCTTGAGGAGTCCCAGCAGAGGGTTTGCCTTGTGGGTCTGGAAGAGACAGTGGGTCCAGAAGCTGGCGAGGGGGACACCGTGCCCACAGCCTGGGCCGGGGCAGAGGGGTGGCTCCTCTGCCTTCACGCAGCTGACCCCAGCGGAGCAGACAGGACCCCCTCTCCCTTACTTACCCGCGCTACTTGCGAAGCCTCAGTTTCCACTTTTGCCGTGTGGGTGAAAATTCTAACTTCACGGTGTTGTGAGGATGCCAAGGTCTCAGAAGCCACTAGCTTTGTACACTGTGGGGTCCCGGTCTAATAAGAACAGAAACAAGAAGCCCAACCAGTCCTGGGGTGTCCAGCCGAACAGCAGCACTGTGCTGAGGGCTTGCGTCCACCATTTCATGAAAAACCCTCCAAGGAGGTGTGAGGGTGATGGTCTCTGTCTTACGGAGGAGGAAACCCAGGCTCTGAGAGGCAAAAATCCGTCACTCAAGGTCACACTAGGGCCAGAGCCAGGACTTGGACCCAGATCAGTCTATACTTGGTTCAAACCCTTAAGTCCAGTGACTTGATCAGCCTGACGTTGTGGAAAAGGCACAGAAAGGGGAGATCCAGTTTTAGTTCTGCACGGACGGCAAATTAATTTTTTGATAACCTTAACAAAATGATGATAGGTATCATTTACTGAGCACCTACTTTACTTGCCAGTATCATTTAACATTGATAACTGATCTGGAAGGAAGGTACCATTTTCCTCACTTTATAGATGAAGAAACAAGCTCAGAGAGGCCAGGCAACTTCCCCAAGGACACACAGCCAGCAGGTAGGTCTCTGCCTCCGTAGTCAGAGGTTTTACCCACCATGGCATCCTCCCCGGTGCTTTTGGGTAGCAGGAGAGGGACAATGAGATGTGACATGGCTTCTGGACCAGCCGCCAGCCCTTCTTCTCCAGGATCCCTCTCCAGGGGAGTTGCCCAGGCCTGGAGCACCCCGCCCCAGGGGACCACTTGGGTGGGTTTGGCACAGGCCACAGGGAAGGAGAAGGATGAAGTCAGGGGAGCTGCTGGTGTGCCATGCACCCCTTGCCGGGAGCTGGGTCTCATTTGTTGCCTCGGCCTCTGGGACGTGTGCGTGTTGTCAAAGCAAAGTAGTTCATGTGGCAGAGTTCGGGGGACCATTCCAGAGGGGGCCAGGATATCATGGTCATCTGGGCCGACGGCAGCCTTCTTTTTCAAGTCCTTTCCTCAACCCTCACCCGTCTCAAGGCATTTTCCTCCTCAGAAAATCTGGGGTGAGTGGTGCTCATGTCATCATAGCCGAAAGAGCTGACCCCTGGACAGGCAGGGGAGTCAAGGTCACCCAGCGGGTCGGTGGCTCGGCTGTGGTGGCCTGTGATTCCTCTCTGGTGGCAGGACGTCAGCTGAGCCATCAGCCCTCCTGCCTGTTGCCCTCACCCTCCCACCACCCTCTGGGCAGTGGGATCCGTCCTGCCAGCACTTGGGCCTCTGTTCTCTGCGCAGACAAGAGGAGATGCTCAGAGGAGGAGTGTGCTCACTCGGGGGCGCCCAGCTGCCAAGAGGCGGAGCCCGCGGAGCCCTGGGTCGTCTGCCACAGCCCACAGCCCTTCCCGCTGCGCCCAGTAACTCGTTGGTATCAATACTGAAGATCCTCTTTATGGATCCTCTTTAAGTGATTTCTAGCCCCACGCCCACCCCCAAGCGCAGCTCCATCTGTGGAGGAATCCCAGGGCCAGCTGTGGAATGCAATCTACCTGGGACACAAGCATCTGGGCCTGCGGGGAGAAGAGGTCCTCTCTGCCACTCCTGTCCTCCCCAGGGAGTTGCCTGCCCCCGTGTACAGCTCTTGGGGGTGTGGTGGGCACAGTGAGAGCACTCCCAACCCCCAAGACCATCAGAGCGTCTAGTGTTCAGCCTTCCAGAGACTCTATTCTCTTGCTGTGGGACTTTGGGCCATGCCTGCCATCTCTGAGCTCATTTTCCCATCTGCACAGTGAACAGGTAGGTGGGGATGGATACCGGCCTCCAGTGCTGACCGCGTGGATTCTGAGTGCTAAGTCTGACTGAGGGAGGCCCTTTTCCATGGGAATCTTTGCTCAGCCCTGGCTAGGATCCTGCCCTGTCCGCCATCACAGGGCCACCAGTCAGGTCGTCCCCACAGCACAGGAGCTGCGTTCCCTAGGTGGTGGGTCATGGAGTGCAGGTCACTTAAGACTGTCTCCCCCAGTGTCACACTTGCATTTGGTCAGGAGCGCATGTGTTGGAACGCAAGAGTCCAGCTCAAGTCCTCACTCTGTCATTTAGTAGCTGTGTCCTTGGGCAAGTTAAAACTTCTCTGTGCCTCAGTTTCCCCATGTATAAAATGGTGATAATAAATCCGTTCCTCATAGGGGTGTTGTGGGATGAAGTGAGCCAACACATGGCAAGAACTTAGCACAGAGAGCACATAGTGGGAGCTTTATAAACAGCACCTAGTATGACTACTACAACCATTATTATGGTCTTAACCCACAGCCTCCAGCCCACTGAAGAGCCATAAGGCAAGGCCACAACGCCCCTCTTCCTGCTAGTCCTGACTCTGCCGCCAAATCACTGGCTGACCCGAGGCCAGCCCCTTCTCATCGATGGGCCTTGGTGACCCTGCCTAGAAAATGACACTTAGACTTTAAGAGGGAGGGACCCACATTCTCTTCACCCTGGGCCACAAGACGTAGCACTTGGGAGACAGCAACGAATGGATGTGCAGCAGGCTGGCCACCGTGCCCCTCGGAGGCTGAATCTGAAAAGCCCTGTGTCTCCTGCACCTCGAGGCAGGACGTACCTGCTTCCTCCCATGGGCTTGGAGCCCGCCTAAATAGTCAGCTCGGGTGTTAATATCCAGAGCGGTCCTTTTTGAATGGCTGTCAGGTGTTTTCAGAGGCTCACCATGGATGCCAGCACCCACTCCTTCTGGTGCAGAGGTCCCCTTGCAGCTCCACAGGACAGCCCTGCCCTGCCCGAGGTTCAGGATGGAGCTGGGATGCTGGCAGGGAGGGGAGAAGCTGACAGATGGAAGCCACCCTGGGTTTCCTGTTCTGTTCCTGCCTCTGGCCTGGCTACCGCCAGCCTGCAGCCTTGCCCCCTAGGGCAGGTGAGAGTTCGACTCGGGCATGGTTTGACCATTGGCACCTGTAAGAACAGTGAAGAGAGCCCCAGAATCTTAGACCTCAGGGGGCTGCAGGCGTCTCTGGTCTAACCCCTCCCACCCACTGGGCAGTGGGCCCAGGGAGGCCAGGGCACGGGCCCAGGCTAGCACGTCTAGCCAGCGGGGGAGCCAACCAAGACCCCCAGGCTCAGGCTTATGCACCCAGGCCTCAAAGAGCCCTTGCCTGGCCCCCTGCCCCAGCCAAGCCCCCGCAGGAGGAGCAGCGCTAGGTGAGGGCCAGGCCTCGGGGAAGTCACTTTCCAGGAAAGGGTCACGGTCCCCTTGTCACCAACAGGAAAAGCTGGTGAGGACGCTCAGCAGGCCCCCTTAGGCCCTCCGGGGGCTCCAGAAACCACAGGCCAGAGAGACAGAGGGTGCTGCCAGCCTCCTCCCTGGATGGAGACCATAGCCCCGTGCCCAGGGTCATCATGACCTTCCTGTGCCCCAGCCTCTCAGTTCCCAGAGCACCTTCCTACCTGAGACATCCCTGCATCTTCACAACGGGCCTGAAAATATGCCGCTCTTATTTGCGTTTTATAGATGAGGAAGCTGAGGTCACAGAGGGGACAGGCAGTGTGACATGGTGGGGAGCAGTGCACCCACAGGATCCCCTTTCTGGCTCAGCTACCAACTCTCTGGGGACCCTCTGGCAAGCCTCTTCTCCCTGCTGGGCCTCAGTTTTCCCATCTGTAAAATGAGGCAGCTAAATCCCAAGGCCTCTGAGGACCCACCCAGCATTCAAGTCTCCCCCGACAGGGCAGCGCCCCCTCCCACCTGACAGTTGGACCCCCTCTCCTTTTACAGTGAAATAAGCACTTATCTCTCTGGTAGCTTGTTGCATTTTCCCAAGCGTGGGTTGTTGCCAACCCCACTTTATGTACAAGGAAGGTACAGTCAACCAGGCATATAGAGTGACCTGCCCAAGATCCCACAGTGAGTGAGTGGCTGAGCTGGAGCGTGGAGCTAGGAAATCTCGCTAGACCCTACGCCTAAATTCCCTAACACTGTCCCATCCAGGACAGCAGCCGCTCACACATGTGGCATGAAGCACGTGTGGCAGGCTGAATCGCCACCCTCCAAGACATCCACTTCCTCATCCCCAAACCTGTGACTATGCCACCTTACCCGGCAAAAGGGACTTTGCAGATGAGATTAAGGATCTTGAGATGGGGAGGTTATCCTGGATTATTTGGGGGGCCCAATATAATCACGAGGGTCGTAAAAAGGGGAGTCAGGAGGGTGAGAGTCAGAGAAGGCAAATCAGTGACCAAGCAGAGCAAGAGAGGATGGGACGAGGGATGCAGATCATAGAAGGACGCGCTTTGAAGATGGACGGACAGATGGAATGCGGGCGGCCTCTAGAAGCTGAAAAAGTCATGGATGGAATTCTCCCCTGGAACCTCCAGAAGGAGCACAGCCCTGCTGACACCTTGATTTAGCCCCATAAGACTCAGTTCAGACTTCTAACCTCCAGAATCATAAGATAATTAAGTTCGTGCTGTTTCAAGCT